AGCTGGAAATCGGCTATTTATCGCTGTAGTAGGTACATTTCAGGCCAATACGCAACGACCTTCATATACAACTTGTTGACATACAGCACTGAAACAAGTTTTTGATCGACTCGGGAAATAACATCCAGACAGTTTGGACTCCGTTACCGAGGCTGGTGTACTTGAGATTATTAAAATTTAAAAGTGAAGTTTAACTCGCAAAAAGTATCGTTAACAACAGACGAGAAATATTTAACTGTAGCTTAATTAGCTTTGGTCTTTAGTTAGACTCGAGTCTAGATACTAATTAATTACAATGATATTTTTTGCATTGGTTAAATAGAAGCCATTGTTGTTTTTACTCAAATTAGCCTCATTAGTGCTTGTAAAGTGAAAACAAAAGAGATTGTGTACCGACTAAAGATGTCGATATCTTTTGTATTATTTTGTCCATAGTTGATTAATATTTTATAAGTAACTGTGGCTGTTTAATATTTTTATACACGGTAAATCGTTATTTTCTAAAAATTGTACTTGTTGTTTACACTAAAACCTCATTAGGTATACCTACAAAAAGCGCAAGATTACCAAGAGAAATGTCAAATGTTAAAAAAATGTCTTTTGGTCTTTTAATATAAATATTTGCTAGTTCAAAATACACTTGATTTTCGATCGACTTTTTTTCAGATTAAGTATAATCGTAGCTGAGGTCTGCTTTTATAAGATGTCTGCAGTTAGCTTCAATAATATTTTTTATCAGCACACCAGTTTAGCAATAAGGATATTCCTTGCTAAATCGAGAGCACCAAACAAGGTGCCGATATGATGTCTGCCTACGCCCCGCACTAGGTGCAGCTTGACATTACCCATTTAGCCTACCTGTCAAACAGGCAGTCCTTAAATGACTACCTGTCACGAAGATATTATCAAGTTTTTTTGTAAAGATTACTGACAAAAGAATTTTAAGCAGTTTCGAAATGAATTAGGAGTGGTTTTCGGATTAGGAAAGGTTAGATTTCGATGTTAATAATTGAATAACGTAGGTAGGGAGTCTTTTAGAATTAATTATACAGGTTATAATTTTTTTGGAGAATAAACTAAAGTTTCCCATTTCAATAACTAATAAGAACTTTTAAGCCATAACACCAGCGACTGGTGAGCAGCAAAAAGGTTACATTACAAAGGAATACACCGGTAAATCAACTTGTCAAATTTCCTTAAAAGCTCAAAATAAGAAACTAGACGATATCAGCCCTCCATCCATCACTTAAAACGTCATGCAAGTCACTACCGTGTGCCCTCTGCGACCTTTGAGCAAGACAGGTTTTTGCAATGCGGCTATTTTTAGTCTGTGGATATGCAAATTACTGCGTAACTATTATTATGCCGACTAAGAAAAAGATGGCTGTCCTTTGCTATAAACGACTTTTATCCTGCCATTTGCCATTTTAGTGTCAGGATAGAAATGAGTACCTAGTAATTGACAGCAAAACTAATAATAATATTTCTATCTATCAGTTCTATGACTTCTCTAATAGCTTGGTGTCGCATTTAGTTTATCGATATTTTCAGTCGATTCTATATTTAGTATTATTTAGTAATATTGAACACTTGGATATGATTTGCACCGGTTGAATACTTATCGACACTTGCCGATAAGATCACTTGGCAGGCCGGCTCAGATATGGCAATGTCGTACTTGCGTCACTTCCTAGTTAAAAAAATACTTTTATCAACAAGATAGAGATTGAAATGTAAAAATAAATTCGTATGTACGAGAATATCCAGCTTTAATTTCTATGTAATATTTGCAATGTAATAAAACTGCTGTAGAAATAGTAACATTGTAAGGTTACATAAATGCATAGCTTTCAAGTGTTCCAATAATCGCCTTCCCCCCCCCCCCTTTTTATAGTAACTATTCTTCAATTCCTTGCAATCTGTGAGCTTAGCTTATTCCACTTATGCGCAATTTGTAGGTCCTTTCAATAATTTCAGGTTATGCTATGAACGTAAAGGAGAGCGGTCAGCAACCTCGGTCCTATTCGCACGTCTGCGCTCGCGCATACAATCTTACAAGCGTGTGAATTGTCGATAACATACTACCACTGAATTTTAATTCTTTTCATAAATGAAAAGGGGGCGGTTCGAAGGTCTTAAAAGTGGTATTGATATTTAATTATTTTGGTATTTTTTTTAAAAACAGCTTCACACAAATGTCAACTGCGTTTATTGTAAGGCTAAAAAGAAAAAAAAACGTAATATTATGTTGCTACCTATACTTGCAAAATGATACCTATGAATGAAGTATTGAGATTTTTTTCAACTAATCAGTCTGTTACTGCGATAACTTTAGCTTATCTTAGCAGATAGGTAATTTACCCTGGTTTGCCTATTTTTCTTACCCACATTGTTATCACCTTGTTTAAAGAATTGCAACATAAGTAAATAATCCTACTTAGTTATGGAAATAACGGGGTCGTGTAACGTTGTTATCTTAATTTACTTAATTTTATAACTTTTTTTATCTTATGGCACGGTGCGGGTACGGGCGGTGACCTCAACAAACAGGTATGGTTCAGCGATGCGACGGTACCGATTCAAGACGACTATACATATTATATCGAATCGAGATAATCAAGATTTCAACTTTTATAGAAATTAATAATTAAATTCAAAACCTGGCAAGTATTAATGTGACTTTTCCCTAGTTATAGGTATGTACTTTCTATGATTATTTAGACACACCACTGACATACGGTGAAGGAAAGCATTGTGAGGAAACCTGGACTATGATTTCTAGTTTTAAGTTTGAAATCGCTAATCCACCTTGAGCAACTGTGTTGATTAATGCTCAAACCTTCTCCGTGTGAGAAGAGCCGTTGTTTAGCAGTGGGCACTTATAGGCTGATGATGATGATGATGATAAACGGATGAAATAAAAACTTTTAGTGTTAGCTTATTACCGATGTCGCATAATTAATACTTGCATGAACTAACGTCATTCAAATATTTACTTTTGAACATAGCAGCTTTTAATAAACGAGTTCCTAAATGGGACACGTTACATGTCATAGACAAAGTACCTACCTACTTACTCGTAATTTTAATAATCGATTCTAAATTCATAGGTAGGTAAGTACATGACTTTTATCGACAACTCAGCAATAATAGTGAGTCATTCGTGTACTTTCACGAGGGCCCATCTCTAGACGACTTAGATACCGACCATTTATTTATTTAACTAGGTGCCTACATACAGTACATGTATATTACTGTACCTACGTAGGAACCCACATAAGTAAGAACTCTTTTTGTTATTCAATATTTTTTTTTGATATGTAGATAAGTCAAAGATTTCGTATACTTTGATCATTCCTTGATTTAGGTAGATGACTCGCGTCGTTTCATGTTTGATTGATGAATTAGGTACTTTTTTTTTTTTTTTTACTTGCAATAAACCAGTGCTTGACTGCGATCCCACCTGATGTTAAGCAGTGATGCAATCGTTGATGGTAAGGCGCACTAGTTTATTAAGAGTCTATTCACTCTAGCCTTGGAGACACCTAAGTTGTATTCGGACGGAAAGACTGGAGCCGGCAAACAGTTCCAATCCCTCGATGTACGCGGTATAAATGACGAGGCAAAACGCTTAGTCCGGGCCGCAGGTGTCTCAACAACGTAGGGGTGGATACTTACCTACCTACCTACGATTTAGCTAAGAAACACGGGAATTTAAAGATGATGGATACCTATCTAGATATTAACTACTTACCTAAGTAGGTACCTAAACACATTATCAATAATTTATTCGTATTTTAATATTTTGAATTAAATTCAAAAATAACGGTTCGGAAATAAGGTTGCGTTTTGCTTTAAATATTACCTACCCGCGTCCTAATACCGGTGGAGAATTTGAAAAATAAAAGGACGGTCAATGTATATTTCTTATTTGATTACAAAAACCGGATTTGCTTACTCCTTTAGAGCATTTAAGGGCGCCCATACTTCAAGTTTACCTTGGAACTTTCTAGCTTGAACCTCGATTGAAAAAGACAGGATCTTTTTATAGGAATAGGGAATATGAATAGGAATACTACTAATAGTAAAATGAATAATGGAACCTGCTTAGTCCTAGACCTCTTCGCGTTTAAATATTTAGGTCTCTTTAATACGTATGTATGGTCCTGGATCAATGGTTGTAAGCACCGTCTCTGAATAGGTAAGATCATTTTCAATCGGTAGTTTACTTTGCAGCAGGTAGTTTGTTTAAGCCGTTTTTTAGGGGATTCATCAAATGGCTATTTTTGCCCTGAGCGGGGCCAGAGAGGGTGTCAGACTCTTATCGACTAAAAACCACCCCGTTTCCTTCTGCTTCTGGCCGAAGCCGTGGTACCTTATATGGCGCTGGCCTCGCAACCCCGGCTGAAAATTGGGTGGTGTTATGGTAGGTACTAAGTAAATTTTATCTTTATTCCGTAAATTGACAAAATTAATACAAATTAATTAAAGAAAAAACAAAGCTGCGTTAATGTGTGCACGTGTGAATGTGTGTTTATTAAGATGTGTATACTTTCCGATATCTGATTTTGATATATTATTATTATGCGCTGCCTACCTATACAACGGAATGTCACTATGTACACACAGAGACTGGTGGTTATCGGTATCGCAATATATGTATCTATTCTTCAAGCCGAAAACAGGTTGATGTATCGAATGATCGTTTTAAGTTTGCAAAACAAATTAACAACATTACCATCTAACTATTTAAACATATGGCGACTACATTACGAAACAAATTAACAAACTAGTAACAAGGTCAAGAAACCGAATTCTAAATTCAAAAACTGTCATTCATAGACAACGATATTTACATTTGTATGCGCCAGCGCCCAAAGGCCTGAACGACAGCCTCTTGAAACTTTTAAAATAAACGAACTATTTTTGCCCAGTCACAATCATGGGTTTACCGCTATTTCACCATGAAACATTAAACACCATAACAAAACGCTACTCACCGAATAACCCAATACTATCAGCAGAAAAATCCGACACGATTCAGTTCCGTTAATACAAATGTTTTACCCGCGATTTTTGTTTTAAAATCACGATAAAACAGATTAATTCACACTTTTGATTGTCGAATCACTTGATTTATCGCACTTGAACACAATTTTCACTATCACGACTTGAGTATAATGTGTATTTTATTCAAAAACATCGATACTTTTACGTAAAGAGTTTTGAACTGATAAGGCACGATACGCGTCTTTTCACTCCGGTGATACTCGAGTTACTAGCGCTCCGAGCTGCCTGACTCGGCGGCCGTCACAGGAACTAGTTTGCAAGCGTTTCGTTTGTTCTTTGAATGACGCGCGCGCGCGCGGCATATTTAAGAACCAATAATACATATTTGTATATTATTACCTATGTAATTATTAAAAATGAAAATAATAAAATAGATCAGGCTCTATAATTAATTCTATGTACAAGTGTTAAATAGTGCATACAATTAAATTAATACAATACACATTAGTGGTTTATTTACAAAAAAGCCTTGTACTCAATTTTTAATTCACCAATAACATTTTCATTTTTGAATGCGGTTCGAATATTCTTCATTGTTTCTTTCTTTCGGTACCTTCCGATATGTCAGACGAGTGGTGGGCAAAATTTATTAACTTTTGAATCACGACGTCAACAGACGCCGAAGCCCGGAAGGAGATGGTGAGATCTTCGACGAGGATTGGTCGCAGAAATCTTTGTGTAGAGAAAAGTGGAAGAAGGATAGGGAGGCCTTTTCGATAATGAAAAAACATCAAATTAATAACAGATATTTATTTACGCGGGTATTTGTTATTTGAATACCTTCCAGTCTGCTTGTGACCACAACCTGTGCAACCGGGTCGAAACGTCAAGCCTAGGTATTCAAATAATAATTTTCCGCGTTAGTACCCGCGTAAATAAATATAATAATATGCTGTTAATATGATATGCGAAAGTTTAAAAGTTAGAACATCAAATTACTTTAAGTGTCCTGGGTGGGGTGAGAGGGAGTGTCAGACTCATACTGACTAAAATAAAAACCACCCAGTTCCTCCTCATGCTTCAAGATAAAAGCTGCGGAACATTATTGCGCTTGACCCGCAAACCTAGACATAGGTATGGTAAATCTAGAGGATAATGTAGATAAATATTTTAATATAACTCCTGCTGTAAAATAGTACCTAAGGCCTACCGTATCTGATACCACCATGAGAGCAGAGCATTCGGAAAAAGTCTTCGACACTTATGCAACGGTTAGAAGCAATCCTCTGCAAAATGCAAGCTGCAAATTACGCTGTGTTTAGTTGGAAACCAGGTATCTTTGTGTCCACAGACTTCTATCCATTTTTCTTTCAGTCTTCGTTTCAATAAATTATACTCAACCATCGATCACTAATAAAGAACTAGATACACAATCAGTGACAAAAAAATGTCCTAACTGAAAGTCCACCAAACTCAACATCGCGGTGTAGTTTTAGTTTAGTACCACTCGAATGCTCCGACGGTAAACACGCCTCAGTGCTCGTTTAAAAACTGCAAAAAACACACATCTAAGACGCAAAAAAGGATGGAATTTCATATTTTCGTTAAGTAATAATATTATCATTATATAATTGTCATCATTCTATTTTAAATATTGATATTTTATTAAGAAATCAACTTTAAAACTTTTTCCAAATGAAATCGTATTCAAAAACCGGGGTTATAATGCACACAGTTTATAAAGACACTTTACTAAACGTAAAATCATTCTCTAGCATGACCACTTAAGTTGTTCGGTTTACGTGGATTGATTCTGTTCCGTTTAGCGGAGACGCTATTGTTTCTAATTTTATTTATTGTTTTTTTTTATTTAAAAATAGTTTATATTTAATATTATACTTCTTTACTGTGTTTATTTAAAATATGGAATAGGCAGATATAATGGATTTAATTTTAACTGCAGTAAAGACATTTTTTTTTTAGCTTTCATCAAAATCCCGTGCGATATGAAAAATTGACAACAATAACGCCAACATTTTCAGTACTTACTTTAGATATACTTATATTCTTTTTATTATTTTACCTACATCTTTTTTATTTGACTTCGAATTTGGAATATTTTTCAAAGTATACATCCCAAGTAGCATTTTGTTCCATTTAAGAGTACACATTTAGTTCCAAAGTGAACTTAAAGCATTACTACAGTTCACTCGTGATGTATTAGCTGCATTATTGCAATTAATTACACCTATACCTGTCTAAGGGACTTATAGGAGTGTAGAGTAATACTTTTATACGATTATGGGTGTTATAATACTCTAACAACTATCCTTTAGTCAGCTTTCTGACTAAGAGCATTATAGGGGGGTAGAGATATGGCAACCGCTGTTTAACGGCCTACTTGTTCGATGTTATAGAGCTAGCATTTTAATAGAACACTTGTGGTCATTTATAAAGCCAAAGGCTGTTATGTTTACTTGTTTTAGACTGTTATACAGCCAGTAGCTGCATTAGGACTTGTTTGTGATACTTAAAATAACCTTTTTTTACTATCTGTACAGAAGTATTTAAATGATTCACATGTGGACTATAGGCTGTTAGAAGGACTATATGTGTTGTCCATTAACATCAATAGCAGTTTATTTGTCCACAAGTACTACTCTTATTTGCTGTAAGCTGAACATGAATGTGAATGTGATATTCTATTACACTTTTTCCCAAGCGCCATTGCAAAGTATGTTTTGACGTCACATGCAATAAAATTTGTGAAAATGTATAAAAAATCTTGGAAAATAAGAGCGAGAACCGGTGGTATAAGAAGAAAAATTGCAAAAGAATATTTAAAAATAAACAGTCGGTTCGATCGAGCCCGTCGATAAGGCTTCAACAAGTGCGACTTCAACCGTTGTTGGTGGTTCCGTACATGATGCAGAAGAAAATATTATGCCTGAACCTGAAAGTTCCCTTCAAAATATACAGATATCAGATTATAGTGATTGCAGTTCTAGTGATAGTGAATACAATTTTGATTTGGATAATTATTTAACCTTTCGCAAAAAAATAAGAACATAAGCTATTGAAAATCGTATTCCTCATTCTGCTTTGAATAAATTGTCAGATATAATAAACGAATTTAAACCAGGAACACTACCGTCTGATGCTAGAACATTATTATGCACTCCCGTTAATGTCATTTTAAAAAATGTAGGAGGAGGTCAATACTGGCACACTGGGATAACAAAACCTTGAAGAGCATTTTGCTAAATTGGATGGATATTCCAGATATGATTTCAATTAACACAAATGTGGATGGTTTGCCTATTTTTAAAAGTTCCACAAATGAATTTTGGCCTATATTAGGTAACATTTTTGAAAGTCCCAGGATTCGGCCTTTTATTATTGGAGGTTGTTAAAATTTGTAACTGGGCATTTAACGGACATTAATATTTTTTATTGCGGGTCTCTAAAATTTTAGTATTTGAAGAAAGAATTAAAGATACACAATTGTCCTGAACTACATCTTAAAGCTGTACATAAGTTCACATTAGAATAAATTAATTGATATTGGCGCTGTAGTGGTACAAATGTGGGACTTCATATAGATAATAGCATTCTAACAGAACACATGTGAACCTAATATACGCTCACCGCATTAAATAGGTGTTATAATAGTTCACATAGCCGTATTTCATTTCCACCATTTTGTTCTACGTAACCTAAAATATTTACCAAATAAATCTACAAGATTAATGCAGATTTATCACAAAATACGCAGATAGAGCGAATGAGTTTTGGTTGCATGTTAAAATTAATTACCGTATTATAATTATAATGCCAATAAAATATCAAAAACTGAAAATGAAAATTTTCCTCTCAGCCAGTTTTAAATATTTCAAAATGAATAAAGCGTTTTTACAGAGGCGCGTGAAAATTTTAGTTGTCAATATGTATACATTTCACGATAAAGTTGCATTCCCATGGCATTAACGTGATATAGTATATAAAACAGGTACTTTGACCGCGTGTTATATTATAATAATAATCCGCCGGAGTTAGTTTGCCCCGAATCCGTGCACTCCGTACAATTGTCAAACTAATATATTTTGGAAATAATTTAGGACACAAGTGAATTTAAGGTAGCTTACTGGAGTACTTTTGTCCGATTTTAACTGTGAAGGCTGTGTATTTAGCCCCTTATTACTCTTTATTACACTCATGGACGTTGTATGGTTCACACTGCGTTCCATATAGTGCCGTAAGTAAGCCTTAAGTCCGATGTTACTACTTAAACTGCTATTATAATGCTATTATACTTCTAATGTACAGCCATAGTGAACTTAAGGCTGTCTAATTTGTGCCCAAACTGGTTCAATAAAAGCATTATAGCAAGCTATACAGCTCATATACAGCTGACATACACAGCTTCTAGAGTACATGTGAACGACTAGACATCTTATATGGAACCCCGAATGCTACTTGGGATATATACTTTGAAAAATATTCCAAATTTAGGAAGGATTAAGGAGGACGAAAATAATAAAAAAAAATAATAACTATATGCATTATTATTGCAAATAAATGAACAAACCTATAGAAAAGAATACTATAAGTAATGCGTTTTAATTTTCGTATTTTTTTTTATAAATTATCAAAAAAAAATTTGAAAGAAATATATTTATTACGAGACATTTCGACTCCAATCATTCTTTGTCCTAGCGGTGAGCCGAAGTCGTTAAATTTTATTGCTCATTTTTGACACATTGTAAATTCGACTTAAAACCATGCGAATATGGTTCAATTTCTTATGATTTATGCAAAAAAATGTTTAGATTTTGTATATCACTTTGTGAAAACAACTCTATGAGTTGCATTTAAGGTTTAATTTACATTAATGCATGTTTATTTCAAGTATAAGTACCTAAACCATTATACCATGTACCCACATCATTAATTTTTCCCTTTTTTCCGGCTCCTTCCTCTCCCTTTGGCGAAGAGCTTTTGTTCGCCCTCTCCCAAAGGTCTCCAGTCCTACTCTTCCGTCTCAATTCCGTCCAATATCCATACTTCCTTTCCTATCCAAAGTTCTTGAAGCCTGTGTCCATAAACAACTTTCCAATTTCATATACCGGAACTCGCTTATCAGCCCTCTTCAATCTGGTTTCAGACCAGGCCACAGTACTACTTCCGCCCTACTTAAAGTGACTGGCGATATTAGAGCTGGCCTCGAGGGTACTAGTGCCACAGTTCTGGTGCTAGTTGATTTCTCGAATGCGTTCAATATGGTCAGTCACGAC